GGGGGATATCGGATTAAGAGAAATCAATGGGGTTGCTAGGCGCCATGCTGAGGCAGAAAGGACAACAGTCAATGGTGACGACAGCAACAAGATGAAGAAGAAGAAGCCAGTGTCGGGAAGAGATCCATGCCACGCGGACACAAAACGCGAAGAGGAGGAGGAGGGAAAGTAGTTCAAGGTCGACTCGGGCGGGAGACCACTTCAGCAACAGAAAAGTGACCGATTTGGGTGAGGATTTACGTCGGCGTGTGGAACCGGGCCAGGGACTGGGGGAAAGTAGCTGTGCGGCCATTGGCCTGCCCTCCTCTTTTCTTTCTGCGGATTTCAATCGACTGGATGGATCATGAATTATGGACTCCTCGCTTTTCCCCTTTGGTTCCCGGCCCTGGCCTCCGTCGGTATTGCGATGTGCGAGTATCGCTCCCTGCACCCGTTAATGTCCCACCGCATCTTTGTTTCTTTTTCCACTTGATTTTCTTCCCCTGTTCTGCAGTACTTTGTCGGTCTCTAGCCGGGCCACGAAAAGCTTATCTCCTTGTGAGATCAGTAGATCCATCCCTCAAGTGCATCTCCTCCATCCGTGAAGTTGTTCGCCTCAACCCACGAAAGTCGGTTACTCAGCGGGAAACGCCATCGTTGGATCTGGCCGCGTCATCGAGACTGCACATCCCATACTGCCTGTGCCCTCCCAGTTCTTGGCACGAATCGAATGGTGGTTTCAGATTGCTTGCTCATTAGTCCATCGCCGGCCCTATGTTCGGCCTACGTTGAGAACTGACGTCTCCCTATGCATGACTCCACATTGCCCATTCTACTTTGGACCTAGATTCCCCCGTCCATAACAAGCCATGCAGCCCGGACGAGTGCCCGTCTCAAATCGTGCTCCATCTACGGCTTTGGATTGCATGAATAGAACAGACGATTACGAAGCAGGCGCTTCGACTAGCCACTTTGTCGTTCCGAGGGCGTCTGATAGACGGTAGTATGAACTGCATGAACCCCAGGCCCCGTTGAGCCGGTTAGCTACTACCGAATCTTTATGGGAACAAGCCCGCCTATCAAATAATTTTCCGGGGCTGAGGAAAAGCGCACGGTACTACTATAGTAGACACACAGAAGCACACTGGCAATCCTTATGTACAATGCCAACGCCCGCCATAATGCAATCAATGGCCCAGAACAAATCAACAATACAACAAAATATAGACATTTCGAAGAGCAATGGCTCATTCCAGGTATATCTCTTCTCGCAGCCGTTGCAAATTGCGGAAGATGCCACCCCCCGGGCCTTCGCTTTCTTGCCGCCGATGACCCGTTGTTGGTCCCTTCGTAGACGATCCGGACGGCTGCTGGGACTGGTCGGATCGGCCCTGATTGTCTAGGGCCTTGCGACGGTCCTCCACCATCTTAGCCAGGCTGTCTACGAACCGGGTCCGGGCCTTCTCCTCCGCAGTGCCCTTCCAGACAAGTGCCAATGTACGTAGCGACTCAACACGGCGCGAGGCAGCTTCAATCCCCTCCTGCCCGCCACCGTTGCTATCTAAAAGCTCCGTTACTTCCTTTCGCAGCTTCTTAGCCACCTCTTGGCCCTTCTCCTCGCGACTGTGGCTCTCAGGCCCCGGTTCCGGCGCCGACACCGAAATAAAAGATGATGTTATAGACGTCTCCGATGGCGGGAGGGGCCATTCCATGGCATCTCCGAAGGTCTGCACCACTTCTTCAAGTCGTGCCCGGACTTGGTTCAACGTCCGTAGCTTGGTGATATATTCAGGGTCCTGCACTGTGTTTGTCTCCGCTCGCTCTCCCTGTTCTCCAGTATCTCCCGAATCCTCCGCCCCGGCGATCTTCTCATGGTCCGCAGCGCTCGGGACAAATCTCTCAATATCATTCCGTAGTGCGTCCGTCAACGTGTCCGAAAGTCCAATAGTCTCTCCACGCAGCAATTCAACCTCGTAAGCTAATCGACCTCCGCTTCGTAGAATCTCATCGGTAAGTTGTGTAAGGGCCGTGGAATGTCGAGCATTCTGCGCGTTTATTTGTGAAAGGACGGACTGGACTTGTGTAGACAGTTCGGGCAGGGAAGAGGCCCCCGCAGGAACCCGCGAGAGGTTCGTTTGAGATGACGCCAGCGTCAGCGCAGGAAGAGCATTGTTGAGGTACTCGGCGGGATCAAAAGACTGGTCAGTGAAGTCGGGTGTCATCTCGAGTGACGGGCGTGAGCTTGGTACTTTCGCAGCTGTAGGAGCCGGGCTGGGAGTCGGCGAAGGAGCCATTGTTTCGACGACAGTCTTCTTAATCGGGGAGGGTGGATGGGCAATTACGCCCTGTTTCAGCGCTATTTCATAAATCGACAGCCCACCGTAAAGGTCAAGGCACAATGCAGTGATTCGTCAGATAGCTAGCAACAAGGTCATGCTTGTCTACGACTTTCGGCCACTGCTGCTGAGATGAAGCCAGGCACACCGCCCTCGGCAGTATCTACTGCTTATCTGCCGCGATAGATACATATATTGCTCAAAGCGACTGGGCAGAAACACACAGCTATTGATGGTCAAATGAACCAATACCTTCACATTAGTCTCTTTTAATTACGAAGGGAAGTCATAAGGTAATGTTGTTATTATTGAATTAGAGGCAGAATTGTCCCGTTTAATACACAAGCATGTAACAAAAGAATGTGGGTATCGTCAAAGCCAGATAGGACCCCAAGCAAAAATGGGGAACAAGCGAATGGAAAGACACAAGGCCGGATAGCCTTGTGGTGTCTCCAAATACATAGATATTGTTCAGCGTCATTAGCATATTCTCATCAGCAACCAGGCAATGGTCCTCTCCAGCGCTATCAAGCCATCAAATCATGTGGCACACCGCACCTAGATGTCTTCGACCACACGCGCATTCATTGCACGCTGGAATCCATCATCAGGCTGTTGGTATCGACTAGGGCCTTCGCCAGCATTCTCTGCCGCAGCCATTTGTTGCTGCACAGTCTGGTTCATTGCCGGCAAAAAGATGACTTTGCTGTTGGCTGTCTTGGCCATGGCTTGCATCGCCTCGAGATAGCGGATTTGCATCGCAGGTGCAGAAGACAAGATATCAGCGGCCTAGAATGGAGAGTTAGCTCATGTCGAGTACTTTGATGAGATGGAATATTTACCTGACGCATCAATTTGGCCGACTCGACTTCAGCACGAGCAGCAATAACCTTACTTTCACCGATACGCTTCGACTGCGCAGCCATAGAAAGAGAGTCCTGCAAGTCTTCGCTAAAGATGATGTCCTTGATGAGCATGGACTCAACCTGGACACCCCATCCACCAGCAACGTCCTCGATTATCTCTGAAGTCGACTGAGCGATCTCTTCACGGCGTTCAATAACGTCCTGCAGAACTCTTGCACCGATGACATGACGCAGTGTAGTCTGAGTACGCTCCACCAGGGCCTGGCGGACATTGGAAATACCAAATGCGGCTTTGTGGGGAGAAATGATCTGGTAGTAGATCACGGAACTGAGGTTCAGGTTGACATTGTCCTTGGTCATGCAGCTCTGACGGGGCACTTCGACGATCTGAATCTTAACATCCACCGCTGTAAGATGCTCGCTCAGTGGGTTCACTTTGACCAGACCGGGATCGACGGAACGTTCGAATCTGGAAGAACATCAATCAGGACATATATTCTAAAGTGATCGTCGTGGGGGTTCACGAACCTTCCGAATCTCGTGATCAGGCCGACTTCACCCTGCGCGACTGGTTTGAAGGGGTTGGGGCAGCAGATACAGCATGGAATGGCACCCAGGCAACCAAGACATTCACCAAGCCCGTGAACTAATAACGACAGAGGTCCGTTAGACCAAAAGCGCTTTGACAGTGTAACATAGGATAAGGCCAAAACTTACTGAATGAAGCGTACCATCCGTGCGCATCGGGGTTATCTTCACCGTGCTGGATTTGCTGCGCATACTTGGGTTGCAGATCGTCCAAGCGAGCTGGTTGCACATTAACCAGACCCGCACCAGGTGCGCGGGCAGGGTTAGTAGGTGGCTGGACTGGCGCCTTGCCGTTGACATCTGCGCTTCTTTCGGCTGACATTTTCAGTTACTGGTAGGAGAATTTGCAGGTCGTATAGTAGTGTACAGTGTGTAGCGGTAATCGGACTAGATCGGTAACCTAAGCTCGTAGGGGAACGGAATAGCTATTATTTGAAGCCAACGAGTGAGAGATAAACAGGGTGGGCTGAGAAGAGTTCGCAGCTGCAACGGCAAATATTGATAGAAACTAGCAGTCGGAATGATGAACTGATTGCGAGGGATTTAGAAATATGACATCGGAAGAGGGGAGTGAGGGGAATTAAATACCACTGAACCAGCTGCAACCTTACTTGCACGACTCAACCACTCGACGGCAGGGCTTCCCGTAGGGTAGCTAACACAATGAACTACTCACATCCTACATCTACTGTAAACTCAACTCACATGTTCTCCGCAGCGGTGGCTGTGGGTCGCTAGTTTTGGTCCTATGGGACCTTTTTGGGGGCGTCTTGGCTGCTTGGTTCCTAAGTTGGACCCTCTTCTTAGCCCATTCCTTCTGGACGCCTCGTGTCCTTGATCCCTGAGGCTTCCCGCCCGCCAGCTGTAAATTTACTACTTGTTGTTGGATCCATTCAGGAGCTCTGCTCTTACTCCGCCTCCCAAGGCTGAGCAACTTAGAAAGGCCCCAATCCGTCCATATAGTGCAGTTTTGTCGCTGAGGATACTCCTGATTCTCTCACTTATCCCAGACTCTGCCACGCTTACGGTCAACGACGGACCAATCTGCGCCAATGTCTTAGACTGTGCCCGAGGCCGAAAGGCGCGTGCCAGAGAGGAAGTAACTAAACGCGCTAAGAATTGGAACTCACCTCTGATATTTCGACGCTACGCTGCTAATCATGCAAATTACATCATTCTAGAAGACGAAGACGGCTATGCGGCAAGCAGGCGAACCACACAAGTTCCTTCCACCAACCATACTAAGGATTGGGGTTACTAGCACGATAGGGCAGCATATGGATGGGACCACTCAATTAAATTCAATGTGCTTTGATCACCTGGCAAGCATACCTTTCTCTCCCTGTCGTTGTTGCCCCGGCATCGTAGTACCGTCCTGTCAACATCCACGTGAGCTCTTCGGTCTTTCCATCTGGTTTCTAGTGACCAATATCCCGCCGGGTTGACCCATGGTTCTAAAAGCTCACAGCCCTCTCCGACACTTCGGTCGGCGATCTCGTGTTGAGATCAGCGGGCGAAGGATTAGGTTTGTGCTGTGCAATCACCCCAAATACAATGGTGGTGCTTACCGTTACACAGGGGATGACAACATCACTCTTGACCCGTCAAATATAGTATGCGCCCTACTTGCGCTATACTTCTGCTCGGCATAAAAGATCCGATAGACAAAGAGCTTGTGACAATCTTGCTCTAAGCTGGCGCCTCCGTCGATCTACAGTGAGGCTCTTATGGGCAGAATAAGGGCTCACGGCCCCCCACGTATTTAGCGCCAAGTAATCGGGCGCACTGAGGCAGTGCTTCCTTTGCATATTGTGGGCCAAGGCTCAACTGACCCGGCACTCGAGAGGGAGGCCAATCACCATGTTACCATACTTCCGAGAATCATCTCTTACACCTGATTCATAAGTTAAGTAGCTCATAGAGAGACAGAGGAACTTATACTCGAACTGCACGGCCAGGGTGCTCTTGCTGAATTGCTA